CTGCCAGCTGGAGACCAGACCCAGGGCCTCGCACTTAGGCAAACACTCTGCTCTATGACTAAGCTCAACCCCAAATTCTAAAGCTAAAGGTTGGAACTGAGGAGTCACGGGGTCACAGGTGACCTGGGCCTGGGAAGGCAGCAGTGAAGGAAGGAGATGGAGGAGTTGGGGAGTCATCAGGACGGGGTGTGCAGTGGGGAGGGCCAGGGAGAACGGCAAAAGAGCTCCCAGTTTTTACCCTGGAAAGCCCAAACTGAGTCTGCACTGCAGGAGGCGAGCACCAGGAATCGCTGACAGCAAACATCCTTGAGTGTGTGGCCTTACTCCCCCCACCCCGTCTGCTCTTACTCCCTCCGTCTGCTCTTACTCCCCCCACCCCGTCTGCTCTTACTTCCTGTCTGCTTTCCTTCCAGCTTGGAGAACCCACAAATCTCAGTCTGTGGTCATCTGTCCTCTGCGCAAACCTCAGTTCTCCTGGGAGGACTGATGACTTCCGGGTATTGGCAAACGGATTTGTGCTAAAATGTGAATTTCTGATACAAAGCCTGATGCACTAGCAGTGCCCTGCTGTGAAAATGGAGAGAGAGAGGGTGTAGGGGTGAGCCCCACAAAGCTATCCGCCCTAAGGGGGGGATAAGGAAATGTAGGACAGGTGGATAAAAGGAAGTGAAAGAGAACCGTATCTCTCTTCTCCTCTCTTCCCTGGAAGCCTGCCACGCTTCTGACCCCCCAGCTTTCTGTGTGTAAGTTCTTATTCTGGTAAATAAACATATTATATTCCCTAGTGCATTGACCTTCCACATCAAGAGGACAAGCGGAGTAGACTCTGAGCTGGGCCCTGATCAGGCTTGTTCCCGCCCCCTCCGGGCTGGGTCTCCTCCGGGTCACGAAGTCCTTCTTGCACAGACACATCAAATTCTTTTTTTTTTTTTTTTTTTTGGTTTTTCGAGACAGGGTTTCTTTGTGGCTTTGGAGGCTGTCCTGGAACTCGCTCTGTAGACCAGGCTGGTCTCGAACTCACAGTGATCCACCTGCCTCTGCCTCCCGAGTGCTGGGACTAAAGGCGTGCGCCACCACGCCCGGCTGACACATCAAATTCTTAAGTTACGTGGCTTTCAATAGACAGATTGGACCCAAAATAATGTCACCCCTTTCTAGCGCTTCCCGGAGACCCAGACCTATATAGCTGCTGGGGACAGGGGTCATCCTACAGCTGCTGCCCACAGGGTAGCGTCCGTTCCAGCTGCAGTCCCCGTGTGGTGCGGGCAGGAACGTCCAGGTGGGGCCTTCATCCCACACGACCTGAAAAGGGAAGGAGCCCTAGTCAGCCGCCGCTCCATCTCAGGCCGGAAGGACTTGCGTGAGGCTCCAGGGATGTGTGGCAGGAGGCCTTTGGGGAGCACTGGAAGACTCCAAGGATACTGGAAAGCAAGGTGACCTAGGTCATGAGGACCCAGGGCTGAGGGCATGTAAACCAAGGCCTGGTGGGAGCCTCCACCGAAGGGGGTGTGGACAGCACCGTAGAGCTAAGCGTTCATGCTGGGCCACTCCAGGAAGTGCCGGGGACCTGGCCTCCATGAAGTCAGTTTTCCAAACAGATCACAAGTAATTAGAATATTCTTGGTGTCCCAGTGCCGAGGCCACAGTCAGAGGTGGATGGGGTGGGGGTGGGGGCGCCTGTCTGAGGCTCCACTCAACCCGGACAACTCTGGGTTGGATAGCTAGGGTTGTCGTCAGTAGAGCCCGAAAGGTCACTTGATCTGGGCTGAATGAGGAGTGACCCCTGTTGAAACATCCATGGCATGGGAGTCCCTGAGAGCCCGGGTCTCTGTGGCCCTGGAGAGGGACCTCAGGATACACGCTGCTCCTCCAGCGACAGGTATGGCACCCCTAGAGCCACACCAGGAAGCAACAGGCAAGCAAAGGACAGGGTGACCCTGACAGGTCCTGAAAACAAGCGTCCTGGGTGGGGTCCTGCTTGGTGGTTTGTCGGACTTAAGGTGCCTGCTCCTTCCCCTGGGGGAGGTGCTAAGCAGCCTAGCTGGGTGCAGGGACACGGGTCTCTGTGATGATCCTCCTCCATGGGGGCCCTGGAGACTGGGAGGCGGTCAGGGACTTCCCTCGGAGGCAAACAGTCTGTTGTGTGAGTTGTTTTCATCTGGGACGCTGGAGCGGATGCAGTGAGGTCATGACCAAGGATACCTGGCAGGGGCAGCTCAATGTGAGCTCCCAGTCAGGGAAGAGCCGAGGCCTGGGGCCAGGAGACCCGATGTGACCTAGGTCAAGGTGCTTCTGGGCGCTTGGTCTCGGCTCTTCTCTGTGCCGTGTGCCAAGCCGGATGGGGAAGGAAGGGCCAGGCCTCTAAGATGACTCTGATGGGCGGGGCCTCTAAGCTGACTTGTACTACTTTATTCCCACTCCGATGGGCGGGGCTGGACCACTGCAAGGTATTTGGTTACGCTGTGTAACGATAAGCCACTGTGATTGGATTAATAAAAAGCTGAAGGCCAATAGCTGGGCAGGAGGTACAGGCGGGACTTCCAGACAGAGAGAGATCTGGGAGAAGAATGGGGAGAGACGCCAGAGCATGCAGGAAATAGGAGGTGCAAGCCACGAGGCAAAACACAGATTAACACAAATGGGTTAATTTAAGTTATAAGAGATAGAGCCGGGCATTGGTGGTGCACACCTTGAATCCCAGAACTCGGGAGGCAGAGGCAGGTGGGTCTCTGTGAGTTCAAGGTCAGCCTGGTCTACAGAGCGAGTTCCAGGACAGCCTCCAAACCAATACAAAGAAACCCTGTTTTGGAAAACCAAACCAAAAAAAAAAAAAAAAAAAGTTATAAGAGCTAGTGGGATAAGCCTAAGCTATAGGCCAAGCTTTCATAATTAATAATAAGTCTCCGTGTAGTTTTTAGTGAGCTGGCACAAAGTCTGGGGGATGAGCAGATCCAACACGCACTCAGTCAGGTAAAAGCAGAAGTTTTAAAAATTATCGTTATTGTTGAGAAAAGGTCTCACTATACAGGCCCGTCTTGCCTAGAGCTCTATGTAGACCTGGCTGGCCTTAAAGTCACTGCTCCCTGAGTGCTGGGATTAAAGGCTGCACCACTTCATCCAGCAACAGGAAGATTTTAAATTGAATTCTAACAAGTGTCCATTCCTCCCAGTAGTTAAAACACTTGACTGGGGGGCTGGAGAGATGGCTCAGAGGTTAAGAGCACTGACTGCTCTTCCAGAGGTCCTGAGTTCAATTCCCAGCAACCACATGGTGGCTCACAACCATCTATAATGAGATCTGGTGCCCTCTTCTGGCATGCAGGCATATATGCAGTCAGAACAAAGTATGCATAATAAATAGACTTTAAAAAACAACAACAACAAAAAACCTAAAACACTTGACTGAGAAGTCCTGGGCACTTTTGATACATATTTTACTTTTATTGGATCAAAATTATTTATTTTTTAACATTAAAACAATTTTTGAAGCAGAGTTGGGAGTTTGAGAGATTTGAATATAGACATTACTTATGTATGTTTTACCTGCACGTACGTGTATCATGTGTGTGTAGGAGTCTATAGAAGCTGGAAGAGGGCACAGGACCCTCTAGAACTGGAGTTAGAGGCAATTATGAGCCTTAATGTGATGGGCTTGGAACTGAACCCAGGTCTTCTACAAAAGCAGTAAGCTTCTCTCCATCGCTCTTTTGTTCTGAGAGTCTCATGTAGAACAGGCTGGACCCTTAAAACACGGTGCAGCCCAGGCTGAACTTGAACTGACCTTCCTTCCTCTTATCTGCTGGCATTGCAGACATAATCGCCATGCTTGTCCGTCCATTTCTAGGGGCTGGAGCCAGGGCTGCGGTTACGATTGAGGCTCCTTTCCTTCCTCTTCCTCTTGATGGGGTCTATGTATCCCGGGCTGTCTGGAACGCTCTATGAGGCCCACCTGGCTCTGCCTCCTTAAAGGAATGTGCCACTACACCTGGCTCTGGCGAGTTGGGCTCCGAACTGTTTGTAACTCCAGGTCCAGGGGATCTGACGCCCCCTGCTGGCCTCCAAGGGCACCAGGCTCACAGATGGTGAGTGGGCTCCCAGGCAGACAAAGCACCCAGATGCTGTGGTGAATAGGCGTGGCCCCCACAGACTCCTGTGTTTGAATGCTTGCACATAGGGAGCAGCACTATTAGGAGGTGTGGCCTTTTTGGAGTGGATGTGGCTTTGTTGGAGTGTCACTAAGGGGTGGGCTTTGAGGTTTCAGAAGCTCAAGCCATGCCCAGTGTGGTAGCCACTTCCTGCTGCCTGCAGATCCAAAACTCAGCTACCTCTCCAGCACCATGTCTGCCTGCATGAACTAACCTTCTGAACTGTAAACCAGCTCTAATGAAATGTTTTCCTTTATAAGAGTTGTCACGGTCATGGTGTCTCTTCATAGCAATAAAACCCTAAGACATACACATAAAATAAGGATTAAAAATAATTATTTTTAAAAAGGGGGCCAGCAAGACGGCTCAGTGGGAAAGGGAATTTGCCACCAGGCCTGACTACTTAAGTTTAATCCTTAGGACCCGCATGGTAGGAGGAGAGAGCAGACTCCAGCAAGCTGTCCTGTGACACAGACCCTGACCACGCCTCACACGGTAGAACTCGATGGCCTCCTTGCTCCATAGGAAATGAAGGAGAGAAAAGTCCTGGTCTCTTGGGACACAATCACCTGATGTTAAGCTCCACATGATACTCATGGCCCAGGCCTCACAGCCTCTACAGTCCTCCTTCCTCAGGAACGCCAACGTTACTGCTCCTTCAGAACACGTAGCCTCCTCTCCCTCAACCCGACTCTTGGCAGGTGACCCAGGGAGAGCAGGGATGAGCAGAACAGATCCCAGGCCAGGACCAGGGGCCTCCTTTGGTCTCCATGCTGCCAGCCCTGGCTATGGCACAGGAGGTGTCCCTTAGTCCTCAGAATAACATGAAGAACTCAGCTGGCTTCAAGTCAACTCTTAAATACTTAATTCTCATTTATTTAAAGTTCTGTCAGTCTGTATACACTATTTATATTAAAAACACAGGAAGCTGGGCTCCTAGCAAAAATATACATTTCAGTTTTGGAGACTTCAGACCCTGAGAGGAGCTGCACCCTCAGCACCAGACCTGGGCGGGGTCACAGGGACAGGGTGGGTCAGGGAATGCAGCTCCGTTCACAGCCTGGGCCCCGCAGGGAACACCCCAAGACCTGATCAGTGGAGGTGGGGGCAGGGAGCGTGCTAGCAGGGATAATGTGGCAACAGAAGTCACCGCCTTTGCATGAGTGCTCACAGGGCTGTCCCCGCTCCAAGCCACTTCCCTCCAGAGCTGTGGTCTAACAGTTTAAGGCCCTGGGGACAAAACCCAGACGGGATCCAGGACATCAGGGCTTAAAGCCCAGGGTTCCAGTACTTTTCTCTGAGAGCCTGATGGTAGCTCCCTGTGGGCCTGTAGGGGGGTGAGCCTGGGCTCTGCTCTTGGTCTCAGGAGAGCCAGGAGGGGGCTGGGCAGAGGATTCGAGCATCCAGCAAGCTTCATGCTGGGTGCAGCTGGGCGCTGGTGACCAGCCATGGGGCTGCCAAGATGTGTGAAGGAGAAAGGGACCAGGGACCAGTCAGAGAAGCCCTGGCAACTCTGTGAGCTGACGGGGTGACCTGGCAGGACACCCCTGCCTACTCACGGATTGCTAGCCCTAGGAACAGCTGTCCCCCAGCCCTGTGGTGACCAAGAGGTGAGCCAGTGCCATGGTTACACCGAGGCACCCCAGGGGCCAGGTGTACCAGTGCCTCCTGGGTAGAGGAAGGAGCAGTTACTGTCCAGTTCCTCACACTGGGTTCTGCCGGTCGGAATGCTGCTACAGGGTAGGGCCAGTGGGGTACCGATGGAGAGCCCGCCCCACGTGCTGTCTGCTCTCTAACCCTGGAACCCAAACCCGAGTCCTGGCATCAGAACTTAGTGTGCTGTTCCTTCTGGCGAATTTCTACCCTCCTCTTCCAAGGGGGCATGGAGGGGTACCCCCAGGGCAGCACAAGGGCAAGAAGAATGGAGGGTGTCAGAGTTGGGGTGGGGCGCCTTGGGTTGAGGAAACAGCTTGGGAGAGAAATCTGGCTCTCAGCCCACTCTCTTCAGCCCGAGGAACCCCGTGATGGTGACCATGGGCTGGGACAGCAGTCAGTCCAGGCCAAGCTTCTTGGAAAGCTGGGCCCATAGCTTAGTGTTTCTTTGGATGGCTCAAGTCTTTGAAGAGGGAGACAGTGAGGTGAGGCAGGACCAGGCCAGGGTGGCCCCACTGCTCCCGGGAAGACAGGCAAAGGCAGAGGCGCTACTCTGGGCTGGTGGTGAGCATACCAACTGCCTCACTGACACGAAGCAGACAGACATGGGGACAGGCTGGGAGAAGAGCAGGGAAACGGTGGGAACAGGAAGTGCTGGGGGAAGTGGGCAGAAGGCGGGGAGGTGGGAGTCTGGGCCACGTGTCTAGAGTGTTGTGAATGGGCTCCAGCTGCTTGGCTGTGCCCAGTGCTCGTGGGCTGGTCCTCAGGACAGTCAGTCCCACCCGAGGCTGGGCCCAGCTGGAGCCTGCAGGGAGGCCTGGACTGCGGCCTCAGTACATGTCCTTGTAGATTTCCTGGAGCAGGGGGTGCAGCAAGGTCTCGCTCTCCGTCTTCTTCAGCCACTGCATCATCTGGGCATGCTCAGTGACCAGCTGCCGCAGGTCGGCCATCTTCTGCAGCAGCTTGGGGAAGAGGTACGGGCTGTCGGGGTGGTTGACTTGCAGGTGGACCTCCAGAGCCCGCAGTATGGTGTCCTGGATGGCCTCCACCTGCGGCACGTTCATGAGGCCTGGACGGTCTGTGGGGACACGGGGTATGAGGAGTCTCAGGGCAGGGCGAGGGACCGCCCAGCCCACTCAGGGGTCTCTCTGCCCAGGATGGACCCCAGCTTCGCGCTCACGCCCGGGTGCTGCACTCCCTGCCCCCACTCTCCACCCATCTTCTGTTTCTGACCAATTGTTCTTCCTCATCTGGCTAGGACACCGGGTACCCAGACTCAGATCCTGTCTCTATAGCTCTGGGCGTGCAGGTTGCTGTGAGGACCGAGTAAGTTATAAACAAGGAAGGCATTGGCCTGAAATGAGCTCTGTGCCCCTGTGGGTGGGCAGGTTATATTAGACTAGAAAAATGCAAAAGTAATACAGAAAGTTCTCCACCACACACAAATAACAGCCTTTAACACAATGGAGTATTTCTCCCTTTCCCCCAGTACTGGGGGTTGAACTCCGGGCTTCCCGCCTGCTAGACAAGCTATATCCCCAGCGGGGCCAACGCAGTTCTTTATGCCTCTAGCCTCTGTCTGCTCACACGCTGCAGCTGGTTCTGCACACGTGACCTGGGCTAAACTGAGGTCGGGCTTGGTCCCGTGCAGTGAGAGCCATGGCCTTACCTCCACACAGAATGATGGCTGCGATGAAAAGCGCCAGGTCACTGTCATCGAGCTCCAGGGCATTGAACTTGACAGCAAACTCAAACTTGGGCTCGATGATGTCACTGAAGGGCTTGCGGAGGCTGCGCAAGAACTCGTGGGTGACGAAGCCACTGCCATTGGCCACCAGCAGCCCGTCTTTGTTGACGATGGAGGCCAGCATGGCAAAGATGGCCTCGTGCACGCCGTACTTGAGCAGGGTCACCTGGTCGTTGAGGAAGAGGCTGCTGAAGTTGGGGATGCTCTTGGCGAACTCCGTGAGCTCCCGTACCGTCTCCACTGTGGTACACTGGCAGCGGTAGAACACATGCACGCTGATCTCCTTGTAGGGCGGCAGCCCGTTCACCAGCTGCTTCCACACCAGGCCCTTCTCAGCCTGCCACAGCGTCTCGATGTCGTGGATGACAAAGGGCTGAAAACCGGCCCCGTCAGAAGCCAGGCCTGGGGAAGGGGAGGGGCCCCGCCCTCGTGTCCCCTGAACCCCACCTCAGAGCCCAGGCTGGCCAGTGACACTCACTGCGTTGTGGCTGGCCTTGCCGGTGAGGATACTACGGGCCTTCTTTTTGGTCATGTTGAAGTTTTTCAGGTAGGCGTTGTAGATGTGCTTGGAGAAGGCCTTCAGGTCGGCCAGCTGCGGGTTGTGCTGGCACCCCTCACTGGCCGTCAGGCCCGCCACCAGCTTCCTCTTCTCGGCCTCCGGCATCCGTCCGAAGCGGATGGCTGTACAGGGGTTGAGGGCTAGTCATGGAGGAGCCACAGGCAGGGCCAGCATCTCTCCCTCCCCTGCTCCTCTCAGGGGAAGAGGAGTTGTCCTTTGGAGGCCCGGGGCCCTCAGGGGCCCCATCGTCAGCAGGCGAGCAGTGCTGAGGCAGTCCAGGGGCCCAACTCCCTGAGAACCTTTGCTGACTTGGCCGGGGGCTGGCAAGGCAGCCAGAAAGAGCCTTTGGTGACCAGGGTCGCATCCGAGCCCCAGTCCATGCCCACTCAACCATGTGACTTTGTCCTTTCGCCTTCTTTGGGGGTCAGGAAAAGTGGATCCTTAAAACTCACTAGAATAACGAGAACCCAGAGCCACGGGCTGCAGTGACAGCCGGAGCGGTAAAGTGCTTCTGTGGTTGCAAGCCTGAGGACCCGAGGCCATAGGTCTCAAGTGAAAAAGGGCTGGGTGTTGAGTGCCCAACAGAGATGGATCCCGGGAGCTCCCAGCCAATGAGAGACTGGCTCAAAAATAGAGGTGGATGTTATCTGAGTTGTCCTCTGGCCTCTACACAGGCACGCGCGCGCACGCACACACACACACACACACACACACACACACACACACACACACACACACACACACACACAATTACAGTCCAAAAAATGAAGCAGGCCCTGGCTTTTAGTAGACAGAGCATGAAGGAAGGGTCTGGTTTGCCCTGAGGCTTCCTAGGGCTCCTTGTGACCCCTGCAATGGAACAGCACCGGTAAAAACGCAGATGAGCCTCAGACCCACCAGAATCCACACTTAGGAGAAGCCAGGGATGGCCTGAAGATGCCCTGTGTGTGAGTTAGTGTGTGTGAGCGAGTGTGTGTGAATTAGTGTGTGAGTGTGTGTGTGTGAGTGAGTGTGTGTTCCAGTGGCTAGACCAGCATAGGGTGTAAGCAGGAAGCTTCGCTGTTCTTTGGAAGGCCGAGGCATGAATGTCTCAGTCTCCTGGAGGATCCGACCACCAGGAAATTCCCACCTGGACCGAGGAAACCCTGCAAGCTCTGTCAGGCTGCTGTGCGGGAGGCAGCTGAACCGCAGGCACAGGGGACAGCTTGGGCGCTCTCTGACCCCTCCGGGAGCCCCGAGCTGGGCTGTACGTCGCGCTCACCGTTGTGGGACATGCCGAGCGCCAGGCACTTCTGGAAGCGGCAGTACTGGCACTTGTTACGGCTCTTCTTCTGGACCTTGCAGCTCCGGTCACACTTCTCGTACTCAAGCTTCATGCGGATCGTCCGGCGGAAGAAACCCTGGGGAGCGGCGGGAGTTCATTAATTACTTTTATTTGTATGTATGGTGTTCTGCCTGCACGTGTGTCTATGTACCACATGTGTTTGGTAGCTGTGGAGGCCGGAGAGGCGGCTGTCAGATCTCCCGAGACTGGAGTCACAGATGCTTACTGCGTGGGTGCTCTAACCACTAAGGTAGCTTTCCAGCCCTGGGGGCTTTTTCTTTTTTTTTTTTTTTGAAAAAAGGAAGGAAAAGATTCCCCCCCAAAAATTTTAAGGGCTGGGTATAGTGACACACACCTTTAATCCCAGCACTGAGGAGGCAGAGGCAGGCGGATCTCTGTGAGTTTGAGGTCAGCCTGGTTACACAGTGAGTTCCAGGACAGCCAAGGCTACACAGAGAAACCTTGTCTCTGAAAAAGAAAAAGACACAAGGCACTGGAAACCAACTTCAAATACACAAGTAGACACTCAGCCCAAGGTCACTGTGTCCCACCTGCCTCTGGAGCCTAATCTCCAAGGGACGCCGGCCACCCACAGAGACGAGTGGGAAGCGGGGTCAGTGGGCAGGTGACTGTGGGGACACCTGGCATCTTTTCTCTTGGATGGCCCAGAGCTCAGGCCTCTAAGGAACCAAGAAGTTTTGCTAGGGGAATTTAAGGGCCCCACCCAAGGGAGGTAAAACCCCGCCCGTCAGTCCGTACCTTACACCCCTCACACGCATGGACTCCGTAGTGGAAGCCTGAGGCCTTGTCCCCGCACACACGGCACTCCATGTTGAGGCTGCCACCTGAGGCCCCATCACAGCCTATCTGCAGCTGGTCCAGCAGGGAGGAAGGAGAGGAATTCTGAGAGAGGTCTGTGGATACAGGACAGAGGGGCAGTAGAACAGTCAGCTACCAGGCCTAAGAGGCAGGCAGGGGGAGGAGCTGCAGCCCAGAGTCCAGCCCCTCCGAGGGCTGTGTGAGGTGGGGAGCAGCTCTGAGAAGCTGGTGGCTTCACTGGGAGGGAGCACAGGGTCCAGGGTGGCTTTTCTGGAGTGAGAGTGCAGGTCCCATCCTGAGGCCCCGTTACTAAGTGCAGAGGTTTGGGCTGTGGGTTTAAAGCCGGCAAGGAGAGAGGGAGGCTGTGACGGCGGCTTCAGGATGAACGGTCTGTCACACGACTGTCAGAAGCCACAGTCTCTAGGAATCTGCTTTGAGACTTAGGGCCTTGGGCCTCGGTCCCCTGGCTCCATAATTCTGCCCACTGTTATCTCTCCCCCTCCCCCAATGCTTGCTTTACGGTCTGGGGTCTCTCCTGGGACTTCAGACTCTTCAGAGACAGGTGCCGAACCCCAAGACCAGGGACAGACACTAAGCAAGAGAAAGAACCAAGCCACATGACCTACCCATACCAGCTCTCCGAGCCCCAACCTGCCTCTCACAGGCCTGCTCCCAGACCCCACTCTGGCCACAGCAGGGGAACTCAAGCAGAGACGCCATGGCCGGGAGGGCTGCTGAGGTTGGGGTGGTGGTGACATAAGATCATATGTGGCCCAGCACCCTCAATCCCAATGACTGTTATTCCAAACGTCTAAATGCCCTCTGGCCCCCAGGTGAGGAGAGTGGAGCCCGCATCTTCTCTGGCAGGCTTTGGGCTTCTTAGAAGCCTGTCACCATCTGATGGGGGGTCCTGTGTATTCATGTGTGGGCACCCCCCACCAGGCGTGAGGGCTGGGAGAGCAGGGCACACCAAAGTCCAGAGCCCAGAAGCTGTGGGTGCCAGACTCATGGAACCCCACAGCCCCCAGGGCTGCACTCGCCACACCAGTTCCTTGTCCCACGTGGGGCCAGGAGGGGCCCCTTTCCATCTGTCCTGCTGTGGTCTCTGGCTCAGGGGTTTCAAGACCTCCAGAACCCCGTAAGTAGCCAAGATGACCAGGTCCTACTAGCCACCTGAGGTACCTGAAGGTGAGGGTCTAGGGGAATCGCCACCAGAGAGAAGGCCCAGCTCAGCGGGTGGTGAATGGCTGGATGCCTTGACCTGGGTGAGGACCTACTTAGCAGAACCACAGGCTGTAACTGATACACAGGCCAGAGAAGCAGGATTGGGGGGAGGGACACACGGGGACGGCGTCATGTGAGTGCATGTGTATTCCGCAAACGGAATGGTGCATGGGTGGCTTTTCCAAAAACAGCTCTGTTTGTCCTGGGTGACCACTTGGCTTAAGGATTTGTCTTCCTATCACCACGACATCCCACCCAAAAGGATGACACCATCTCAGGCACCAGGTCCTGCACCTTCTCATGACCTCCTGCTCAGAGGTGCGGCAGGTGTGTGATGATTGGAATGGGTGGTGTGAGTCTCAGACCTTTCTTTCTGCACAAGGGACGTAGCTCAGGTCAAGGCTACAAAAGGCTGGGCTCCCTGTGTGGGCGCCACCTACCTGCTGGGATTTTTGTCTTGTTTTTTCTCTATTTTTCCTTCCTCTCTACACCCTCTCTTTTTGATGTTTTGAGATAGGGTTTCTCTGTGTTGCCCTGGCTGTCCTGGAACGCACTCTGTAGACCAGGCTGGCCTCGAACTCACAGAGATCCGCCTGCCTCTGCCTCCCGAGTGCTGGGATTAAAGGCATGCGCCACCAACGCCAGCTGTTTCTGTGTTTGAGACTGGGTCTAACTAAGTAGCCCAGACGAGTCTTGAACTCATGCTGCTCCTGCCACCATGCCTGGCTTGCTTCCTTTCACTGGTGCTGGGACAGACATGGGGGTACTCACACTAGGACAGAGAAGCCGGTGGAGGAGAAAGGTCACCCACCTGCCCTGTGCAGTTAGGGCTGGGACACACCTCAGAGTGTGCTTTGCACACTTACTGTGCTCCGGGACTCCACGAGGCACCTCATATCCCTTCATTTCACGGAAAACCTCAAAGTAAACTTCAAGTCGGGCTTTGTGCCCTGTGTTACAGGTAAGAAAACCGAGGCTGACATTGTTAAGGACAGCTGCTGGGACGGCGGTCCATACAGATCTGGCTCAGCCAGGCTTCTGTTCAAAGACCAGTCTAGATTGGAATCCCAGCACTTGGGAGGCAGAGGCAGGTGGGTCTCTGTGAGTTTGAAGCCAGTCTGGTTTACAGAGCGAGTTTCAGAATAGAGTGACTCTGTCTCAAAAAACAAACAAAAAAAATGGAAAGAAAGATAAACAGTGTTGCCAGGCATTGGTGGCGCACACCTTTAATCCCAGCACTCGGGAGGCAGAGGCAGGCGGATCTCTGTGAGTTTGAGGCCAGCCTGGTCTACAAGACCTAGTTCCAGGACAGCCTCCAAAGCCACAGAGAAACCCTACCTCGAAAAACCAAAAAAAAAAAAAAAAAAAAAAAGATAAACAGTGTTGACATTTACGCCAGGAGCTTTGAGTAAGGCGCTACTTTTCATGATGCGTGTGGCCCTCATCCTACAGGTGACGGCTTTAAGAGAGTGACTGGAAGACAGGGTCTACCCCACCTTCTCCACACGAGCTACTTCCTGGTGACACAGCCTGGCTTGCAGAATCAGGACTGGGGACCTAGGAACCAACTCTTGAGAGGGAGGGAGGGAGAGAGGGAGGGAGGGGGAGAGGGATAGGGAGAGAGAGAGAGAGGGGGGGGGAAAGAGAGGAGAGGGAGGGAGAGAGAGAGGAGAGGGAGTTGAGGGGAGAGACGGGGGGGGGGCAGGAAGAGAGAAAGAAACAACAACCAAGAAAACCACCTCTATTGGTTCTGTCTCTCTGGGGCCCCTGACTAAGGCGGCTGCAACGTGAGCATGGGAGTAGAACCATGCAGCTGCTGCAGCTGTGCACTCTGCTGCAACCCATGGGCATGCTCCTTGCGTCAAACAGTAGCATTATTATGAAAACAACACAGCGAGGTCACCAGGAGGATGACACACGGTCACTCCTCAGATGTCTGAACTCACTGTAAGCCCTGGCGGCGGCCCCCACGTGAGTACAAGCTCAGCGAGCACACACTACTGACTTGTCCCGGTGTTCTTATTTGGGTGAAGGCTCTCCTGCACATATCGCCTCGGGGCACACGGGCCAGCTTGGTTACTTAGTGTCGTTTTCTCTTTGAGACAGGGTTTCTCTGTGTAGCCCTGACTGTCCTGGAATTTGCTCTGTAGACCAGGCTGGCCTGGAACTCAGGGGTCTGTTTGCCTATCTCTTGTGGGATTAAAGGTGTGTGCCACCGCACCCAGCTACCTGTTTCATTTGCCTGGACTTTGGGCTCCTCTGGGCTGGTGTTCAGCCTTGTCTATCACTGCCTGGCCCACTCTGGCCCAATGCCTGGCCCTGAACACTCGCCAAGTAGTCCAGGAAAGGAAACACATGCAAGAGGGCAGCCGCCTTATCTACCTGCTCCTCTTGTGCATGGGCTGCCATGAAGCGGGAGGGGGCAGGGCGGGAGAGCGAGCACCAGCTTGGGGGGGTGGGCCCCTCGCCAGCAGGACCCTGGCCATGTCCTTCCTCGTTGCTGTGTGCCGGTGTGAGGCCTGTACTGCATGTCTCACGGGGACAGGATGGCCACAGGTGCTGGCTCAGAACAGGCGACCGGAGTGTGAGGCTGCAGTGGCCACCTGGGTCCCTGCTCTGCTGTAGGTGGTCTTTGTGCCTTCCCGACAGGGTCTCACTATGCAGACCAGGCTGGCCTGGGCTCACAGAGCTCTGTCTGCTTCTGCCTCCTGTGTACTAGAACTGAAGGCCTGCTCCTCCATGCCTGGTCAATTTATCCACTTTAACCTTGGGATGGGAACAGAACAAGAGCTTTTTAAGCTATGAAAGTCACACAAGGTTGCTGAGAGAGACACAGGGCAGGCTGGGTGGTAAAATGGACACTCCTCACCCATTCAGGGTTCTGAATCAGCTCCTGCGGCCCTTTGGTTTGCCCTGCCCAGCACTGTTGTTACACATACGGATTTCAGGCTTTGTGTTGGAACAGGCTGGCCTGGAACTTGTGATTGTTCTGCTCCAGCTCCCAAGTGATGGGATGACAGGTGTGAGCCACCTACAGCACTACCTTACCCTTAAAAACATCTTTTGTTTTTTTTGGGGGGCTGGGCAGTGGTGGTAGCACACACCTTTAAACCCAGCACCTGAAGGTAGAGACAGGAGGATCTCTGTGAGTTTGAGGCCAGCCTGGTCTACAGAGTGAGTTACAGGACAGCCAGGGCTACATAGAAGATCTGGTCTCAAAACAAAAACCTTTCTCACTTATTCCTAGTGCCTGTGGTCTGTGTGGTGGGGGTGGGGTGTGCCATGGTGTGCATATGGAGGGAAGGGGACAACTGTGCAGCTGGTTCCTTTCCTCCACAGGGCTCAAACCCAGGCCTTGGGCATCTCACTGGTCTTATCCTTAAAAAACTTCACTGTGTTTGTGTGTGTGTTGTTTGTTGTGTGTATATCTACGTGCGCATGTGTGTGTGCTGTGTATGTGTATCTGCATGTGCATGTGTGTGTTGTGTGTGTGTATCTGCGTGTGCATGTGTATGTGTATCTGTGTGTGCATGTGTGTGCACACGTGAGTCAGAAGACAATTTGCAGGAGTTGGTTCTCTACTTCCCCCATGCAGGTTCCAGGGAATTGAACCCAGACCGGCGGGCTTGGGAGCAAGTACTTTATCCACTTGCTGAACCATTTCACTGGCTCTTACTTCATCCAGTTTTGTTTGTTTAGCTTCTGCCTCCCTAATGCTGGGATTAAAGGCGAGCACACCACCTCCGGATTTACCTCATCCTTAGAGGACTGCAGTGTTCCCCCGAGGCTCTGGCAGGCCTTACCTAAGGGATTTCCCACAGGGGGTGACACCTGTTTCTGTTTCTATGAGCTGTGCTGTGGCACACAGACAGCTGGGCCACCTCTGTGCTCACAGAGCGAGCAGGCACACGGGACACATTGCCAGAACAGAACTGCAGGGCTCAAGGGACATAAACTGCACCATCCCGTCACCACTGGCACCTGGAAGGCTGCCTCCTCCTCAGGCCAACAGCCCCATCCACTAAGCGAATGGACGATGACATTTTGAGCTACTGTCTGGTTACTGCTCACCCTGGGAAGCACTGACATGTGCTTCACTTGCTCTGACTTCTCTGCTGGAGCTCGTCGCTTAGGCCAGGGCTTCAGACAGCTGTCATCAGTCCAGCTGCCTCAGCTCCATCCACTCATCAAAAACCAGGACCAGATATGGTGCCTGTGAGTCCCCACAGCCAATGCTGCTCCAGATGTCCCCACCACACCCGGGCCTGTCCTCACCCGACTCTGCTCCATCGTTGCACTTTGGCTGGCACGTGAACACTACAACCCTAGTCATGGCTTGTGGTGGAAATCCCAGGACAGGCCACTTCCTGCCTAGACCCAGATATGGGGGGCAAAGTTGCCAGGGCAGGCAACCAGGCCAGACCTCGTGCCCCTCTCCTCCCTGTTCAAAACTTGTCCTCAGCACCTTCCTGACACCTGGCACAGTGTCCCCAGTCCTCTGACGCATATACTCTCTTCTCTCTCCTCTCCTCCCCCTCCTCTCTCTCCCCCCTCTCTCTTTCCCGCTCCTCCTCTTAAGGGTCTCTCTATGTAGCTCTGGCTGGCCTGGAGCTCACTAGGTAGACCAAACTGGCCTTGAACTCACAAAGCCCCTCCTGTCTCTTCCTCCTAAGTGCTGGGATTAATAGCAACACTACCTCTGGTCCCTCTGGTCCTTTCTTGAGTTAAAAAGCGGCCTGAGACAGCGCTAAGTAAATCCTGACGCATGGAAGCCGTTCCTCTCTCCTGAGAATGCTTGGGTCCCTAGGGCCATCATAGCCATTCCCTCTAACACCCAAGAACACAGGCTACTCTGGTCCCCACACCACAGCACGACCAGTGGGGTTACTCTGAGGATGTGGGCAGATGTGCAGGACTACAGCGCCTTCCACGCCTCTGAGCCTGGCTTTGTATGTTTCAGGTGATACGGCTCACAGCTTTGATCCCTTCTTGGTTGCAAGCAGGCCGGTTCCACCCCACAGCTGTCCTGTTACTCAGGCACCGCTGTCATCTGTAGACACTGAAGGCCAGAGCGCCCTTCCCCACCCCCGGCTTGTCCAGCTGGTACCAGCAGCAAGCCATGTCTCAGAGAGCCCATTCCCCCAGACTAAGAGACTCTCTGACGGCAGGGCCCGGGATCACCCGAGGCCCCCGGAGGAGACACTGTGGGGCACAGTGGAGGGGCCTGAGGAGCAGGGGAAGCCAGGGCCCAGGGGCACACAAGCTGGACACGGTGTCATGAGGAGGAGATAGATGTCACGGCTGTGCTGGCCACCAGAGAGAAATGTCACCACTGCCACCAGACAGAGGGTCCATGAAGTGACCCAGCGAGTGAAAAGAGACAGCTGAGACCTGATGCTCAAAAGTGACCCAAGTCACAGTCACCCAATCAAACCACTTGGCGTTTGTGGTCAATCCTGGGGAGCTGTAGACTGAGTACCAGGTCTCCTGGGTTGGGTGGTCTGTCACAGCTGCAGGCATGCCCCACATTCCTGGTGCAGCCGGGCACCAGCTAGCATATACAAAGCTCTGGGGTGGGGGGATGGGGTCGGAGACACTCGACGGGTAGCAGTGACAAGATGATGACATGTCCTACACACACATGCTCCATCTCCTGTCTGTTTCCAGAAGGGCTGTGACTTCCCAGGGCCCCTTGGCTCACCAGTTGGTGATTGACAAGGTAGGACTCTGCCACTAGTCATTGTCACCCCACGGCAGGCTGTCCTGGACCTCTGCGCGCCCCCCTCAGCCTCCCTCGCACCTGTGCAGCTGCTGGAAGGAAGCGTGTGCTCTGGTCCCCCGTTGGGCTCTGGGGCTCCTTCGGTCGTGACCACTTCCTCTTTCTCCTCTTCCCGGGCCTCAGGGGCCTCCTCCTGTGGCTGCTCCATGACTGTCCCCCACTCGGCGTGGCGCCTGCAGGCCTGGTCATAGCTCTGGCACCATCTGGGTCTGAGCGCAGATGGACCGCCTAGGCAGGGGGAGACGGAAGAGGTTAGGGGAGAGACAGTGACCGAAGGGGACAGGGTGGTGGGCACAGTCCCACAGCTCAGTCCCTGCAGGCCTTTCTGATTGTTCTGAGACAGGGCTTTATGCAGCCAGAGATGACCTCTAACTCCTGGCCCTCTGCCTCTAAGCCCTGGGGTACAGGCATGAGCCACCGCCTCCAGAGGTCCACACTTCTCACACCACCAAGCCCTCTGCCCTCCCGCCAGTGCTCGCCTGGCTCCCAGCACAGGTTGGCAGGGCTGAGTCGGTTTCATTATCCAGATGTGGTGATACTCTGCTGTGCTGTCTTCACCTGCTTCCCTGCTCCATGAGCCTCCCTAAGTTGCCTGAGCAGCTGCAGAACGATCCCAGCTCTCCAGCGCCTCCTGGAGATCCCGCTACACATTGCGACCCCCACCACCCAGCACTCTGGGCCACTGTCTGAGGGGCATCCTCTCCTGTCTGCGCCACTGTGGGGGCAGCCTGGTTCGTTTGTCTTGTGAAATAGGTCTCTTTATGTAGCCCTGGCTGTCCTGGAATAGTCTCTTTGTAGACTAGGCTGGGTTAGAATTTAAAAAGATCCGCCTGCCTCTGCCCCCCCAGCATGGGATTAAAGGTGTGCTCCACCTCCAAGGTGGGGCTCTATTTTTAATCCCCTGTAGCTGTGAAGTTCGAGCAAGCTTGCTTGACAAGTAGTGCTGCCCAGCAAAGCCCCGCAGGGCACTGAGCTCCATCGGTCATCCCGAGGCCTCCCCTGCCTGACGACACAGTGGCCTCTCGGAGGCTGCACTCTGGGCAGCCGGATATGCGGCCCCGGAAGGAAGTCTAGATGGCAGAGAGCTGCAAGTTGGGAATCTGTGGATCTGGAAGATTCCCAGTAAATGACAGGGACAGGAAAGGTGTGAGCATCTCATCACAGCCCATGACAGTGTGCACACATGCACACACATGCAAACACACATGCACACACATGCAAACACACATGCACACACACATGCACACACATGCACACACACACACAAACACACACACACCTCAAATCAAGAGGAAACGTCCAGCCGGGCGTTGGTGGCCCACGCCTTTAATCCCAGCACTCGGGAGGCAGAGGCAGGCGGATCTCTGTGAGTTCGAGGCCAGCCTGGTCTACAGAGCGAGTTCTAGGACAGCCTCCAAAACAATACAGAGAAACCCTGTCTTGAAAAACCAAAAAAAAAAAAAAAAAAAAGAGGAAACGTCTAAGTTTTCGGTCTATATCAAGTCCAAACGCACCAGAGACTCAAAAGTAAAGCAAGGATATGCAGACCAGCACAGGGGATACAGCTAGGTAGGAACACACAACCCTTTGGGTTTGATCCTCAGCTCCATCAACCAGGTCTGGTGGTACACATCCGTGATCCCCACACTCAGCAGGTGGAGGCAGGAGGGTCAGAAGTTCAGGGTTATCCCCAGCTACACAGAGAGTTTGAGACCAGCCTGGGCTACAGGAAATCCTACCAAAACAACAAAAGCTCTCATAAAGTACAAGAAATGACGTGCTGACATGAGACTCATCTCAGTGAGTGAGATGTAGCCTCACAATAAACCCATAAAAGCCTTGTGGGTGACAAGATTACAGGTTAAAGATTAACAAATTTAATTACACGAAAGTATAAAAGTTCTATATAGCGAGAGGTAATTTAAGGAAAAGCTACTTAAAGGCAGAGCCAGGCTCTGTTGGTAGCTCGGCTGCCTCCTGATCCCTCAGGAGTCTTGGTTTGGTCCCCAGCACTGCAGAGCAGCTTGTGGTCTGCAGCAGAGGACAGAGGATCAAAAGTTCCAGGGTTTGGGGGTAGCCTAGGCAACATGAGACATTGCCGTAAAAAACAAAACCAACCAACTAACCAATCAATCATTCAATCAATCAGTCAACTAACCAATCAGACAATAAACAGAGAAAAATACTTTCAACATTCATCCAAGTGCTAAATTCCCTAAAACAGCTCATAAATTCCTGACTAGTAATTAAGCCAGGCGTGGTGGCCACACCTCTAACCACAACACAGGAGGCTAGCCTTGTCTACATGGAGAGTTCTAAGGCAACCAGAGCTACATAATCAAAGGCACGCACCCCCACACCTGACCCTGACACATGTTTTTCAAATAAAACGCACTAGTATGAGGGGATGTGGGTTCACGGTAGAGACTGGGCAGGCATATGTGACGTGCTGGGTGTAATCCTAGGTGCTGAGAAGTAACAGCACAACCCCCAGCCAGGAGGCGTCTGCAGCAGACACACTGTTGGATATGATTAGGCAAGGCCTCCGTGGAGGGCAACTGGGCCCATTGTTAATTCCACTGGGTGAGGATAAGACCTTTACCATAATTTTTGGAACCAAATTTGAAGCAAGTTTTATTAGATATTTATTGGCCAGGTCCAGGGATACTGGCCATGCCCATACCCAGTTCAGCCCTCCCCTTGCATAAGGACAATGCGTATACTTTGACCCAGAAGGTCCACTTGTAGGCGGTGTCTGTGGCTCTGCTTCCCCGTGAGAGGAGTGATGGAGCACTGGTACTGTCCTTCCAGGATGGTGGGGGCAGGTTAAGTCGGCTAAGGCCCGACACCAAAGCATCCACTGGTAAAACAATCCATGATCCACAGGACAGAGCCGGTGGGGATGGGATGGGGGGAGAAGGCTAGCCCAAAGTGTCCATCCTGACCCCCGTCCCCCCTTCCTCCTGACCACCGTGATGTGAACTGTGCCTCCCCACCACGAGGGAATGAGTCCCTTGAAACTGTGAGCCCAAATAAGGAATCCCCCCATTAACATGTTCTCTTGAATATTTTGGTCAGAAATACAGACAGAAAGCGAACAACATAGTTACCTTTTCTATAAATAAGAGTCAGGATAAAACAAAAAGGCACACACAGGGAGAGGAGGGGGAGGGGGAGGGAGAGGGAGAGGAGAGGGAGAGGAGAGGGAGAGGAGGGGGAGGGGAGGGGGAGGGGGAGTAACTATGTCAGGGTCACACAATGACTGCAGGTGCAGTCTGGGCAGGTTAGCTCACGGATTAGTCACTGTACCGTGTGACTTCCATGCATTGCTGGGGTAAGACCGCACCAGAAGCTACCATGTCCCTGGCCCAGGGCAGGATCTGAGTCAGGAGCCCTCACCCCTGACCCCTGTGTGCCTGCAAGCCCTTGGCTCATTCTGTCAGAAGAGCCTGCTGCAGCCCTCCTGGCTACTTCAGCCACAAAAGCGCCAAGGCATAGGTGAAGGCGGCCACAGCTCTGGTCCCTGCACCTCTCCCCTGCCCTGTCTTCCTGCTCTGTCTTCCTGCTCTGTCCTGGGTCTCCTGTGTGCCACCACTCAGGCCGCAGTGTTGGCTCTCTCTGGAGGATCTCTGGCTCTCACTGGCTGGCTGTCCTTCCAGACTGACCCACAGCTCCTTCCAGGAAGCCCTCCTGGGCTATGCGCTGGACCCCGCTAATCTCAATGGTGACTCCAGTCTGCAAGGCCCACTGGCTGTGCTGGGCTCTCCGCATCCTCCCGCCCCAGGGGTGTTCTCGGTTCTGCAGAGTGGGACCCAGGGCCTCTCGGTGAGTGTTCAACAGGCACTTGTGAGTGAGTAAGCTCCCCGACGGCCTTGGCCTGCAGGACTTGACAAGGGTCGGCTTCCTTGCGTCCCTGACATTCGTATCTGATGCCGGTGCCTTGTGGAAGTTGACTCCACCAGCTGCTGGGTCAGGCTGCCTCCCCCCCCATGGAGCAGGTGACAACCGACACCGACACCGAGGCAGATGTGCAGGGCTCCCGGGACTGTGGCTGCTGTCTGCATCGCTGCTGCTGATTCTAGGGAGACAGGGCAGGGCGAGGAGACCGGTTTTTAAAAGTGTGCAAGCACTGGGGTCCCAGGACCTCCACAGGTCTCCCCGCTTACCTCCCATCTGCAATAGGGGGCTCCCTGCTCTGCCCCTGAATGCCTTGAAGAGGCGCAAAGAGAAGACAGAAGGAAAGTGTCCGGGGCGGCTGTGTCCTGAGCCTTCCAATCAATCAGTGATCTGTGTGCTGACCCAGTGACCCGGTTTTCCGGGCCAGCAACTTCGCAGAATTCCCTGCTCCTCACTTGCCAATCCAGGTCACCCCACCTCTTCAGGGCACCCAGAGGCCAGGGTGGATTCACGCTGGTGGGTACCTGAGGTCAAATCCCTAAAAAAACGCCAGAGGGCAGGAAGCAGACAGGACAGTGGGCAGGGGCCACCCTTGTATTTCTCTAGACAGAAAGAAAAGGCACTGCTAACCAGACAATGTTCTGGAGAAGAGAGCAGAGGGAAGGGAGCTCGTGCCTGAGCTGTGAAACAGGACCCTTGGGCTATGCAGCTGCCAGGAGGAGGGAGAGGCCAGTCTGGCTCTCAGCAGGGACGGCAGGGGTAATGCAATGTCCACCCCTCCCCGCAACTGTAGCAAGATGGAGAGGGTTCCAAAACATTATTTCACAGATGAGGTGTGCTGAGTCCAAAAACAAAACAAGCCTGGTGTAGTTCAGATCTGTAATTCCAGCTGAGGCAGAGGCAGGGTTGCTGCAAGTTCAAGGCCAGACTAAGCTGCATAGTGAAACCTTGTCTTCCCCAAGGATGGGGTGCAGTAAGACAGTTGGTGTACAGAGGTTAGGATGGTTGGTTGGTGTACAGAGGTTAGGATGGTTGGTTGGTGTACAGAGGTTAGGATGGTTGGTGTACAGAGGTTAGGATGGTTGGTGTACAGAGGTTAAAATGGTTGGTGTACAGAGGTTAGGATGGTTGGTGTACAGAGGTTAGGATGGTTGGTGTACAGAGGTTAGGATGGTTGGTGTACAGAGGTTAGGATGGTTGGTTGGTGTACAGAGGTTAGGATGGTTGGTGTACAGAGGTTAGGATGGTTGGTGTACAGAGGTTAGGATGGTTGGTGTTCAGGTTAGGATGGTTGGTGTACAGAGGTTAGGATGGTTGGTGTTCAGGTTAGG